ATGGTCCCTCCTAATTCGGTGACCATTTCCTGAATCTAGAATCCTTAATCCCTAATAGTAACACAGTTTGCCACACTAATTCACCCTCGCCTAACATCTTTTGCCTAACTCATCGATTATAAGATCGTTCGACAATCTTTTTTCTACTTCACTAGTAAGTTATAGGCATCGAGCCGAGCTTCCTCCAAATCCTTCAGTTCTTGCCTCATGGCTTGACTATACTTGGCACTGAACAAACTGCTTTGTTTGATGACTTGTAACGAGTTTATGCTTAGCTCGACTAGTAACATTATGTCATGTCCGTACATTAACACGTATGGGGTCATCCCTGTTGCTGACCGGAGTGAAGTTCGATATGCCCATAACACCTCATTTAACTTCAAATGCCACATACCAGGCTTTTCTTTTATTATTTTCTCAAGGATACCGATTAAAACTTTATTACTTGCTTCGACCTGTCCATTTGCCTGTGGGTAATACAGCGTGGACTAATCGAGCCGAATTTTAAACTTGTTGTGTATTCTTTAAACCTGTTGGCTGTAAAAATCGTGCCGTTGTCTGTTATAATTGTTTTTGGTATGTCAAATTCCGTCACGATGTTTTCCTTCACAAAAATGTAGACTTCTTTAGATGTTAACTCGGCGTATGATTTCGCTTTGACCCACTTGGTGAAGTAGTCGGTCGTTATGAGTATCTATACATGCTTTGCTGATCCAGAAGATGGCGTAAATTTGCCGATTACATCCATGGAAACGACCATGGTTTGGTAACCGAGTAAAGTAAGTCGGCAGGGACCTTTTGTATATGCCCATGGATTTGACATTGTACACAACCTCGCGCATATTCAATGCAATCTTTTAAAATACTCGGCCAAAAATAACCGTGCCAACTGAGCAACCAACGTGTTTTGCGTCTGGATTGATGAGCTCCGCATATTCTTTCGTGTACCTCTATAATGCTTGGGCGACCTCTTCTGGGCTAAGGTACGATAACAACAGGTTGTCTTTACCTTTTTAGTATAGTTCATTCTAGTATATTATGTAATTTGTGGCATGTACCCTTATCGTGCGGTCGTGTTTACCATTAGGATTATCGAGATATTGCATAATTAATCTTCTCTAGTCGTCTGGTAATGTCTCGATTGCACAGATATATATAGGATCATCTAATTCCAACAACGAAGGTAGGTTCATAACTCGTGTACAGATTACATAGTTATGTTTGCGTAGGGTAATTTGTGTGTTGAATTGGAGAGGGCCTTTAAATGATGCACTTCCTTCTCTATTTATAGCAGCGAACCTTCTTCATAGCCGAACTAGAAATGTACTCGGATTAGAACTCCTTAACCTAATCTGATTAGGTTTCGGCCAATCCTAACCCTTGTAGGACTTTGAACCAAGCTCCATAACGAACCAGATGCACCTCCCAATTCTAAGCACCTTCAACTTTAAGGAGTCCTCGCAATAAGATTCGGTCAACCTTGACTGGACGGCCCATGACAAGATTCTAGATGAATGTTACTAGACCGAGAACAACTCTAAGCTCGGCCCAAAATATTATTTTGGGCCCAAACAATATCATGAGTTGAACTTATAACATTTGATGTGGCAAGTCATATAAAATCTAAAAACTTTTGATACATTAAGATGACATGTATGCCTTTGAATATGCTTGGCTAATACATATACATTACAAGTTGACAATTCATATGTATTAGGCAAGCATATTCATATGTATTTAGCCATACATTGACAATTCATATGTATTAGCCATACAATTCATTTAAAACTAAAGGAAATATTATAAATATTGTCATCTTCCTCAACCAAATTCAAACCTACAAAGGTGGATTGTCTAAAACTTTTTCCCACAACCAAATCTTAGGTTTTCTTACAATTTCTACCGCCGACCTCTTGCTTCGGTTTAGGGTTGTTGGCAGTCATTCCTCACCCTCCTTCTAGCCTCTCTCTCCCCTCCTATCCTTCTATCAAGCCCTCCACCTATGTTTTTTTTCTTCCTTCACTCACTCCTCATTCCCCGTGCTGCCCCTTCCTCCATGTCCCCCCGTTCCCTCACATCTCCCCGACCCTCTATTAGCTTCTATAACACCTCTTATCTTCCCCCAATAGGTTCTTTCCACCATTTTGTAAGTAGCTCGTCAATAGTTTTGTGACTCTACCCATATCTAAGTCTTGGTTGTTTCAAGGTCTTTTCCTTGATTTGGAGCTTGATTTGCTGTTAGGGTGGGTTTTGTGCAATCACATCAGGTGACTCCACCCTTGTACGACTTGATTTACTCATGGACGCAGCTGAGCTTACTTGTGCGGTGAATGTGTAGTCTTGGTTCGTATCATGTTCGTTGTGATGAATTAATCGGTGGTTCGTTTCTCGGAGTAGTGTTTAGTTGATTTTATTGCCTCACCTTGGTGCATGGTTGCGGTGGCTGGATGTTGTCTTTGCTTTAAACTATGAGTATGTGGTCTCGTCTTTCAACGATGACTTTTTGTGGTCACGCTCCATTGTGATGACTTTCTATGCTCTCGCACTTGTGCGATGACCTATGTGGTTGCATGTGTAGGTCTGTTGCATTTATTGTGTTTTTGTGACAGATTTGTACTTGTGATGTTTGTAGTAGGGCAGTGTTTGTGGTAGCCAAATAAGAGTTTACTGTAATTTGCTTAATTGCACAAATTACTCTAGATCAATTCTTGGTCACTAGAGCTTGTGTACTCGATTAGCAACCTCAGTAATTGTTTATGAAGTTCAATGCATACCACAATATTGCTTATTGTCAAAAGTTAAAAATAAAGGAAAAAAAAAAGAAAAGAAGGAAATATTCTAAAAACAGTAACACATGACCGGATACGATCACAGTGTCGGCTCGCAGCTCAGCCCAAAGAAAGTTCCCCATTTTATCATACTATATTATCATTAGCAATCTAGCAATCGATTAAAGGTGCTTCTCTTATAATTATTCAATACAAACAGAAAATCTTTTACGTTTTCATATATATATATATATATATATATATATGTATGTATGTATGTATGAATCATTTTAGAATTATAGAGTTGGTGTTCTAGGTTGCAAAAACTTCTGGATAGGTATCTTAAATTTGAACTAAATTCTTTATGGTTAAAGAATCTCTACCTAGTTGCTCGGAAATAATTAGGAGATTCTCTAGAAGAAATACGTTGTAAGACTTCAATATTCGGGCTTAAGGATGATTTTTCAATATATGTTGCAAGACTTCAATCCTATTACCTAGGGGAAAGACCAAACCAAAACTGATTGGTTCGGTTTCGATTTTGATGATGTGAAAACCGAACCAATATATGTATTATTAATGATTTAATATATATTAATTATGAAAATGAATGAATATGCTAAACCAAGCCGTTGACCTAGGAAATAAACTTTATAGACTCGAAACATCGGCTAATTCTCCACGAATCTCAGTTAGGTTAGTACATTTTATTTTGCTTTCGTTTTCTCTACTCTCTAATTATTTGGTTTTACTACTCCTAATAAAGTATGTATAAGGTGATTAGCTAGGGAAATTTATCCGCTTACTCATCTAATTTTCTTTCCAACAACACGAGGGAGGATAGTGGTCCCGACAAATGTATTTTCTTTCTCTCCTCACCATGCTAGGCTTGCTGGTCTAAGTTAAATGTGCAATGTTGCAGACGTCTCTATTTGACACATACTACATCATTGTTTTGATGTTAATTGCCAATTTATTTGCTTACACTGGGACACTGACAATTGTCAAGATACTGCAAGCTCCACATAATTCAAATCTCTATGGATTGATGAACAGAATCAGCCTCTTGTGTGGAACGTTTGCCTTGATTCTACTAATGTTCATCCTAGTTCCAGATTTGGGGTGGTTTGCTCTTGCATGCTGGGCCATATGCTTTGTGACAACTGTGGTTAAGTCCCACCCAAACTTGAAAAGACTCTGTACAAGTACAACAAATGCAACTTATATACTTTGTTATGTCATTCACAAACTGAAAGAGCTGAACATGAGATTAAATGGCACAGAAGAGTCTCAATCTCAAAACCAAATTGGGATAGTTTAATTAATGGGTATATTTCAGTTTGTCCATTCAAGTTTGTGTTTAATTGTAAAAATTTAATATTTCAATGTAATATCATAGATTCGTCAATTTTTTTGTCAGTATCTCTATCACCTATATGCTACCCAAATTAAAAAATCAAAAGAAATTTTTACTTTTGGAAATTCATTCAAATTTTTTTTTATATAGAAAGTACGATATTCATTAACCTATTACTACAAAATGAATATATAATTAGTCGCATCATAAAGCGTATGAAGTTTACATTTTTTTTTTTTTAACAATTCATGAAGTTAGGAACTTATTCTCAATAATGCCATTTGCTACAGAAAAATACCCAATAAACATAGATTGCATATTTCAAATTAAATTGATATCACCCTAAAAAAATTAAATCAATGTATTCGACAAAAAAATTAAGGGGGTATATTCAATTGAGAATTTGAGAGATTTTGATGGATTTATAAATTCATGGATTTTTATGAAGTTTAACGGATTTGTAGATATTCCATGTAAAATTTTGATTTAATTCCCTCGAAATCTGACAAAGAGACGTGAGATTTGTGAATGCTTAAAATACACTACAAAATCTCTCCAATTCCTTCTAATTCCTCGACTTTTCCAAATTTTTTAAATTCTAATTCTAATTGAATAAACCTAGAATGTTATAAACTTCTTTAAAATTCTAATTGAATACCTCTGAATTCATTAAAAGAATTAAAATTCCTCAAAATCCAAATTGAATACCCCCTCCTAAATAAAATTGCCATATTTAACAGAATTTATTAATAAATTATGAATGAAAACTAAGAGCACGACCCAAAGTTCAAACAAACCGATCTGCTTCGTTTAGAGAGAGATAGAGAGAGAGAGAGGTATCACAATGCTTGCTTTCTCACCAATTGCTTACAGTCATGATTCGTGTTAAATCCGGGTTTGGATCATTGCCTTCCAAAACCCAGATTAGATTTCTCTGCACATCCGTTCTCGACGACCCACGCCCTCAATCTCCATTTCTGACAGAAAACCTCGCTTCTTTCTTGGACAATTGTTCGGACCCTCTCTTACTGAGAAAACTCCACGCTCTCATTTTCGCTCGCGGCCTCGGAAACAATATATTTCAAGGCTGCAAGCTCCTGAATTGCTACGCAAAGTTTGACCTTTTATCAGATTCCAGATCGGTTTTCGACAGAATTGTCAACGGGAACCTGTCTCTCTGGAATGCAATCCTTGTTGGGTAATTTGAGAGCCAGTCAATTCGACGAGGTTCTTCGGCGGTACGTAGATTTGAGGCGGTGGAATATCGGGTTGGATAGCGGCGCCATTACGTTTGGTTTGAAAAGTTGTATCGAGTTGGGGGATTTGGACGAGGGATTCATGGGGATGCTTTGAAGTCTGGGTTTAGTTCAAATGGATATGTGGGTTCGTCGCTTATCGGGTTGCCTTCTAGATGTGGGTTCGTTGATGAAGCAGCTAAAGTGTTCGATGAAATTACTGAGAGAGGTTATCTTAAAATGGAGCAACCCTTGGAGGCTTTCCGCCTTTTCTGTATGGTGATGGAAGAAAATTTTGTCCCGGATTTGATAACTTTGTCCAATGGGATTCTGTCTTGTGCTTGCTTGAACTATTTGCGTCCAGGAAAGAGTATCCATGGTTACATTATTCGAGCTGGTATTTAAAACTTCTTGTCCTGGAATTGAGGAGAGATGTACAACAATCTCAAAATTCTAAATTTTCTTTCTGCTTAAAAAAAATCACAGTATTTGATTACTTACATTGTTCAATGGTTTCGTCCGCATCACACGATCTCCTCTTAAAAGAGAGCCTGAAAACTGCGGATGGCTTTCTTTGGGCCTGTGGAACAAATTAGCTTAACATCAAAAAAGAACTAACTAACTAACTCACATTACTTGATATGAAAAGCAGTTTATGAAGAGAGGGAGGTTGGATACTCCCACTGATCACACTCACAACATTCAAACACACAACCAAATACGCGCTTCTTAGCTCTCTTTTTTCTCTCTCAGCTCTGCCTCTTGATTCATACATAATGCTTGGTGCCCAGACAGCAACTTGAGTGGCTCGATCAAGATTTCTGCTCCTGTTTCTCTTCACTTTTGAGGTTTACGACTCATTCGCTTTAAACTCGTTGAAATTATTGGCTTGTGGGTGCTTCTGTTATGAATTGCGCTTTGGTGCTTTGGGTTTTGTTTGTATTGCATATTGGTTGTTGGGCAGTGGTTTGATTGGAGTTGGAATTTGTTTTGGAACCCCTCCAAAGGTTGTATTTTTGTGGGTAGCTTTTAGTTTTTTCAGTAGGGCTGTGTTTGTTATGGATTTGGGATTCTAATTTTGCAGTTTTCAGAAGCTTATGGTTTCACAAAGGTGCACTCTTTTTCTTTCCTTTTTGGTAACCTGAGAACTACATACTTAGGCTGTGTTCTATTGCCTTGAGCTGGAATTCAAAACTTCAATTAGTGTGACATTGAATTTATTATTGAAAAGGCTAGGTCCTTTCCATTGGTTAAGCAGACTGTACAAAGCTGCATTCAAATTGAAAAAATAAAAAATAAATAAATAAATCAGCAATCTGAATTTGTAAAGAGCTCAAAGATATTTATTTCGCTTTGGTCATCTACATACAGCAACTGCAAAAATTAAAGGAAATTATTCCATCTCGCTTCGTTCATCTCCTACAGGTGCTAAAAGACCACTTGGTTCGGGAGATGGCGGTGCACCATGAGAATAAGGCACTTCGGTTGGGTGAAAGTCTAAACTCATGCAGATTACACAATTGCATTTATTTACCTCTACATTTTGTTACAGGGAGATCATAAGCGTACGAATAACGGGACACAATCTCTTCAACCTGTCGATTATGAGGCATAGCCCACTTCCACGCTTCCACACTTTCACACTCCATTAGTTCTGTATAAATAATATCGTTTGTTTAAAATAAAATTAAAAAAAAAAGAACTAAAAAGAAACAAAACTCTATATGCTAGCACGCAATCATGTAAAAATAATTTGAAACTCCGAGTCTCAGCGCAATTTTGGTAAAGCTGACATGGCCGCACTGATCGCTCTTGAGGATTTCTACTGAGGACTGAGGCTTAAGCAGTTGTTATAAGTTAAACACGTGTCATGAAATTTTTGTTGTAAAATGAAATCCGTGGTTCTTAGTAAAAGTTGGGAAATTTTAAAGAACTCAAATTAGACAATTTATTTGCATTAACATAAGAAGTTATGGACGTCGGAATATTCTCCGCGAGTCCCAGCTGGGTTGGTCCATTTTCTTTTGCTTTTATTTTCTCTACTTTCTAATTATTTGGTTTTACTACTGCTAAAAGTACTTATAAGGTGATTAGCTAGGGAAATTCATCCACTTACAAATCCAATTTTCTATCCAGCAGTACAAGGGAGGATAGTGGTCCCCACAAATGTAGTTTCTTTCTCCTCACCATGCTAGGCTTGCTTTTACAAGTTAAATGTGCAACCTCGCATGCATCTTTATTTGACACAGACTATGTCATTGTTTTGTTGTTAATTGCCGATTTATTTGCTTACGGCAGGATATTGGCGATTGTCAAGATACTGCAAGCTTCACAAAATTCAGATCTATATGGATTGATGAATAGAATCAGCCTCTTGTGTGGAACGTTTGCCTTGATTCTACAAACGTTCATCCTTGTTCCAGCTTTTGGGTGGTTTGCTCTCGCATGCTGGGCCATATGCTTTGTGGCAACTGTGGTTAAGTCCTACCCAACCTGAAAAAATATGTACAAGTATAACAAATGCAACTTATATACTTTGTTATGTCATTCACAAACTGAAGGAGCTAAACATGAGATTGAATGGCACGGAAGAGTCTCAATCTCAAAACCAAATTGGGATAGTTTAATTAAGGGAATTTTAACGAAAGCTTATGATACTGTTCACTTTAACGAAAAACCACATTTTTACACTAAAAAGTTAATCCTGGTACTATTCACTTTACCCTTTATTTTGTTCTTATTGTTAAAACTCAAAGTTTTCAAGCCAAGTTCATTAGTTTTCCTTTTAATTAATAGGTATAATTCAGTTTGTTCCTTCAAGTTTGTGTTTAATTGTAACTCTATACAAAATCTTAACACTGTACGACCTCGTACAAAAAATTAAGATTTGAATATAAGTATCATAGATTCGTCAATTTTAACAATTCAAACTTATTCTCAATAATGCCACTTGCTACAGAGCCGGAATGCAATCCTTGTTGGGTATTTCAGAGCCGGTCAATTAGACGAAGTTCTTCGGCGGTACGTAGATTTGAGACGATGGAATATCTGGTTGGATAGCGGCGCCATTACGTTTGGGTTGAAATGTTGTATCGAGTTGGGAGATTTGGGATTTGGACGAGGGATTCATGGGGATGCTTTGAAGTCAGGGTTTAGTTCAAATTGATTTGTGGGTTCGTCGCTTATCGGGTTGTACTCTAGATGTGGGTTCGTTGAAGTTGCAGCTGAAATGTTCGATGAAATTACTGAGAGAGATATTGTTGTCTATACTTCGATTATTACTGGTTATGCTCAGAGTGGAGATCAACGCGCTTGCGAGGCTTTTGGGTTTGCTCGCCATATGCAGAGGCAAGGATTGCATCCAAATCGGGTCACTCTTGTTAGCTTACTTCAGGCAGCGTTGCAGTTGGAAGAGGAATTGGTGGTTTGGATGAAGTGTTCGAAACAAGTCTTATGGACATGTATAACAAATGTGAATCCCCTAGAATGGCAGCCTGCACTTTTGGCGAAATGGATAGGAAGACTATTGGTTGTTGGAATGTGATGATTGCTGGTTATTTTAAAATGGAGCAACCCTTGGAGAAAAAAGTATCCACAGTTACATTATTTGTGCCCAGGAAAGAGTATCCACAGTTACATTATTCGAGCTGGTGTTCAGCTTGATCTATTGGCAGCCACCGCTATGGTCGATTTATACTCGAAATCCAACAAGTTGATCCAGTCCAGGGAACTATTTGATGGAATGGAGAAAAAAGGATCTATATCTTATGATGTGATGATGACGGGCTATCTCCACAATAATTATGCTAGCGAAGCTGTGGACACCTTTGTCGAAACGGTTGGAGAAGGTATTAAACCAAACCTAGAATGAGGTTACCTTGATGCTGTCCGGAATTAAGGATAGACATCTTTCTCAAAACTCTCAGAAACTTTGAAATACATTACGAGACTCATCCCCTCTCCATCACTATCACCGAGGAACATTGCAGTGGGGTAAGTAGGCAACTGTAACAACACGGAGGGCAATATCATAAGAAACCGTTGAGGACAATGTAAACAACCAAGCATACAACAACAACAACAACAACAACAACAACAACAACAAAACCTTTTCCCACAAAGTAAAGTCGGCTAATGAATCCTAGAACACCATTGCGCTCAGTTATGTGAAAGTACCTGTGTATGTACATTGTACGATGATGAGTGAAGGCAATTTTCAGTCGGCTTTTACTTTGGGAAGCTCAAGATGCTGGGCAGTGTGATGTATCTTATTTGGGCGCACAAATAAATCAACACCTGTTGGAGTATATAGACTGTAGTTTGGAGCAGGTGACTTTCGTTTATCCCTGATAAACAGAAATAGTATTCTCATTAGAGCAAAGAAAAACCGGAAAAATCGAAAAATCGAGGCAAGCTAGATTTAAGCATATTGTCTTGAATCTTTTCATTAAAATTCTGTCGATCCTCTCTAAGTCCCTTAAAGCTTCCATGAAAATGATCCAGAATATTCTTCCTCATTGCTAGAAGTTCGTCATCCTTCCCCATGAACGTATCTGAATGACCTTCATCCATTTTGTATAGCTTTGGTATTCTTCATACTTACACCCATTATCCACGAGGCGTGCGGATCTTTCGAACTGAACTACTTGGCCACCAGAGATATTCCCAAATGGATTGCCTGCTAATGGAAAACAAACTGTAGAACAGGGAAGAAAATTAAAAAATAAACTAAACAAAATCCTTAGGCCGATGGCCAATACCTCCATGGATTGCCCCCACTTGGTTCGATGAAGAAACTCCTTCAAAATAACCCACCTCTTCGAGTACTTCTCGGCCGACGACGACCGCAACGAAGAAGCCGAAACCGAAGCAGTAGTGGAAGTGCTGCTCTCCTCTAGCAATTATTCTTTGCCCTGGTTCCCAGAAATCCAAAAGCAGGATACCATAAATCCACAGAGCAAAACCAGCAGCTGCCTATCTGCCCTCAAAATCAACAAATTACCAACCCATGCCCTCAAAATCCACAAAAATTCAACACACTATGTTCGGGCCGGATCTGTCCCTCACACAGCTCCCCCGAGATCTTGCCTGTCGGGCAAGGTTTGATACTTGGTGTGCTGCAATATGAGTTTGCTTTTAGTTTGAAATGTGCTTTTGTAGGACCTTTGTTTAAGCCTTGAGGCTTACAATCAAAACTAACATAGATCTGAGCGTGCCATTGTTATCTTTGTATAACAGACTGTCTGTATTGGTTATTTACTAGGTTGATTACTTGCACCACAAGTTACTTTAAACTTCTTGATCTTGTTGGATTGTCACAAATGGGTTAAGTCTGCATAATGTTCTTTTTTTTGCCTTGTAAACAATGATTTTTACTCATAATATTGTATGTCCAAAATGAAGGGGTATCAGAGCCTTCCAACCATTTATATGTTCAAAGTTTCCTTTAAAGAAACAAGGTTCATTAATTTAGCTAATTTTGAAATGCACAATAAACTTTTGAAGTGCCAATAAGGCCACTATAGTGCAAATATATACGGCGAAGATGTGTAAACGGATCTTTTACATCTCCGGTGGCATCTTTATTGAGGAGCAACTTTAAATAAATATAATATAAGAGCAAATTAAGATAAACCCATCTAAATATACTCATAATCCATATCATTATTCATAAAGCATTTTAACACATATGGAATTGTCATCAATGAGTTCTCATAGTCTTGAAAAAGAATTTATGATCATATTATTACAAAATATTAACTAACTTTCTAACTATATATAACCAAGCAAGTGGCCCTTTACCACATTGCTGGAAAGGTGTTAAACCTTTACATGATGGCAAGAGTTTAAACCCCATCGATGACTAATCTAACAAAATAATTTGACAAAAAAAAAACTATAAATAAACAAGTGTCATTCATCCATATTTACTCTAAGGAAAGTTGCAAATTCCAGACAGAAATTCAAATGAGTATTTGTTTGTGGACTTTGTTGTAGGCAATGATAAGACAAATAAATTCAAGTTTTATTTACAATATAAAACAAATAAATAATAAAGTCATTCGTTTAGGGCGATCACGCCGAGTTACCTTCATTCTGTGTTCGTAGTTCTGCGGGCATAGGTCTCCTACTGATACTATGTGGATGTTGGTCCAACTAATCCAATTTGTTGGAGACATTTTCTGCCCGTGGCTTAGACTGAGTTGCAGCGTGTGGAAAGGACTATGGAAGAAATGGTCGAAAACTTTGCCCCACGGTTAGCGCTCACTACACGAAATGGTCGACAGCTTGGTAACCAATCAGTTTGGTGGGTTGAAGACCCCTGAGTTGCATATTTTGTTCGAAGATAGTTTGGAATTTGTTTATGGATTGACATGTGAGGATAAGTCCTTTATGTTGTGTGGGACACTCTTTTCCCTTTGACCAGAGTGAAATTCCCTGCAAAGTTTTATCGAGGCCCAGTAAGCACACTATCCTCAGTTTGTTTGTATTATGAATTTGCTTGCAATGAATTATTGTACTTCTCTCCAAAAAAAAAAAAAAAAAATTGAAATTTGTGATGTTTATGTCCGTACGCGGAAGGCTGGGAAGGTAGTATCGTCCATTGAATCAGTTCCACGCGCTTCGGCATTCGACGAACGAGTAAGGAAGTTTAAGCGAAGGTGTATCTTTTTCTGTACACTAAGTCATCCATGCAACCTTAAACTAAAGTAAAGCAGCTCGAGGAAGTGGTTATTCATCACAGTAATAAAAAGGTATTGAACTCTTAAATAACAGTGTGGATTCTAATTTTATTAATAGTTAATCTAACATTTAATTTGACAAAACATTTGACAAACAAAAAAAAAAGTAAAACAGCTCAAGCGGGACCTACCTCAATGCCAAGAATTCAGAGGATTAGAATGGAAGAATTGTATAAAGGAAAAACTTGATATAAGTTGAATTGTTTTAACAATAATCCAGTTTATTAAAATAGTCCAATCCCTTAAATTTAGGATTATTTAATTATCAAAAAGTATTATTTGTTGATATTATAAAAAACAATTTCTTTTATTATTGCTTTATTTTTTATTCTTCTGTTCCAAAATCCATTTATAATTTTTTTTTACAATCAACCTATATTACAGGTTAATTGTATTTATCTACCTAAATCACAAGTTAATTGTATTCATATATGCACCGGGCCACCATATATGTATATTTCATTTTAAGTTTTATATTTCTAAATTCATTGAATCCACGGTTAAGATCTTATATGATCAAGTCTAACGATAAAAAAAAGACCTAACGATCCAAATTAAATTCAATGACCAAAATAATTAAAAGAAAAGAAATTCTTTCATAGTGTTCTACGAGTTTCATAGTGTCGGTTTAATGATTTTTCAACATTTATCGGAATCTAAATATTTTTATGTTAAAATGTTGATAAAATCAAATTAGGATAATCTACATACTTTTTTTTTAAAGTTACTTTAAGAAAAAAATTGTCATAAATTCATTATTTAATAATATCAGGCTAAAAATAAATTTTCTGGATAAAAAATTTTAAGTTTTAACCTAAGAAACAAAATTAATTACTAACTGCAGGATTATCCAAAAAAAAAAAAAAAAACTTACCATAGGATGTTAATCTAAGGGCCAAAATCAATTAGTCCTCGGTGATAAAATTCTGGAGAAGATCCGAGTCCCAAACTCTCCATAAACTTTAGTAAATCATAACGAGGGGCCCTACTTCAGTGCCACCTACCAATTCGCGATTTCTTCACGGTATCCCCAACGGAGTAGGATTAACAATTTTAAGAGAGAAAAAATAAGAAAGATTTAAAAATAAAGTAATGACATGGGATTCTTTATCTTGTTTTACTCGTTTTTATGTTGTGGTTGGCCTTATCCGAATGGAGTTCCAAATAACAAACAAACTATGAAGTGTTTCTAAACGGGGTGGAAAAAAACACCACCTTCTAATCAACGAAAGATCACTTGAATATTGAGTGAGACTCTATTTCTTATTAATTATTATAATAAGCCCCGTCCGAAATTCTCTCCTTAATCTCTCTTTCCTTTAATATCTTCATATTTAAACAGTTACGATTACGCCATCTATATATCTTGTTTTGAAATTTTTAATAGAAAATAGGACAAAAAGAATAGTGTGAGAAGAGGAGATGGAAAAAGATGGTAATAGGAGGGAGAGAATCTTACTCCTTCCCCAACACCCCTTGTCACAAATCTTACAAATACGCCCTCCCTCCAGCAGCAGCAGCTTATTTTCAATTAGTGATACATTATTTAATTTGCAAATTTAGTTTAAATTTTTTAATCTGCCTAACTATTCTTCACAATTCCCTTTTCTTTAATTATTTATCCAGCACATCCCGTAAACACAGACTAGGACACCCCCGGGAGCTGTAGGCTGCAATGCCTACATCTAAACACACACCCCCCCCCCCCCCCAAAACACCAACTTGCCAATCATTTTAGAAAAGTTATGTTACTTATAGTTTTTTTCCAGGTTCTAAGCTTGCCGTTTGGTTCTTTTTAATCAGATTTCAACCCACATATTATGTAGTTTACATCCTAAAGTTGTTTTTTACAGGGCGCACCACGGACGAGTTAATTGTATGTTCTTTTATTTGAAGTGTTAATTTTTTGGTCTAATGTGGTTACAAATGTGTTTACAGTAAAGAAATGACAAAATCAAGTACAATAAAGTATGCTAAATGCCAAAGTAATATAGAAGGAGATCCCAAATTAATTCCACAATTGTATTTGTATCTCATGGAATTACAACAGTTGTGTCTTGTATAACATAAAGGTGCAATTACTTTGTCGAATATTTCTACAATATAATTTATATATGTTATCTTTTCT